TAAGTTGGCAGTTAGCCAAGGTTTGTTTGGGGTTAGCAATGGGATATGTTTATGTGGTAAGTTGGCAGTTAGCCAAGGTTTGTTTGGGGTTAGTAACGAGATACATGTTTGCGGTAAGTTAATAGTTAGCCAAGGTTTGTTTGGGGTTAGCAATGGGATATGTTTATGTGGTAAGTTGCCAGTTATCCAAGGTTTGTTTCAGGTTAGCAATGGGATATGTTTATGTGGTAACTTGGCAATTATCCAACGTTTGTTTGGGGTTCGTATTTATCTGAAGGCTTTGATATGTTTAATTTATGCTTGTTTTTGTCTCTTCAAGAAGCACACAACAACGCATTACCACAAATAACCAATTCCAACTTACATAGAAAATCATTCGTAATAATTACAAGCACATTCTAGATAATGTGTCAAACAAATAAGATCTTGACGTAAAAAATAAGTAAAAGGAACTGTAATGCATCTAATCTGAGCCTTTTCTATTATGAAATTTAACTAACTATACCACTCCACTAATGCCGCTAAGAGATACAGTGATGTACATACTGACGTCACGATAAAGTCTGGAATTGTCCATGACATCACATAAATCCCATTCACAGGAAAATTGATTCTCTGGACACCTATTTCTCCAAACTGATTAAGTTTTCCTATAATATATGTATTTATTTAGAGTCTGGTCTAATATACATATTTGAGTAAAAAATGTAATTTTATTTCATGTCTCAGAATAGTGTATTTTTATCTGGCTTACAGTACAAAGTAACAGAGTTTATATTCTATATTTCAGCTCCTTTGAGTGCAAGCATCACTCCCACTCGTCAACTAGTGCACCTTGGAAGACCTGTTTCTATTAACTGTACATTATTAGGTTATCCCATTCATTCAGTAACTTGGAAGAAAGACAGCACTCTAATAACGACATCTAGTGGACGAATCATGACAAACTGGAACCGTCTACAAATTTACAGCGTTTTGCGAGAAGACGCGGGAGTGTACCAATGTTTTGTATACAACAATATGGAGTCAGCTCAAACAGCTACCGAATTAACACTAGGAGGTAGGTGGGATGGAAGGTAAAGAGGATAAAATATCAACTACAGCATCAACTGAATTATTTCTGGGGAATATGATAAGATCAAAACAATAATATATCAGCTCAGTCGACCGCTGAATAGACATCAGTTTGTTTATTTGTTTGTTTGTTTTGAATTTCGCACAAAGCTACACGAAGGCTACCTGCGCTAGCCGTTTCTAATTTAGGAGTGTAAGTCTAGAGGGAAGGCAGCTAGTCATCACCACCCACCGTCAACTCTTGGGCTACTCTTTTACCAACGAATAGTGGGATTTACCGTCACTTTATAACGTCCCCCACGGCTGTTTTGGTGGGAAGGGGATTCGAACCCGCGACTCTCGGATTGCCAGTCGAGCGCCCCAACCACCTGGCCATGCCGGGCCGAATAGACATCAGGAAGGAAAGGTGTAGGATTGTTAAGATGCGATATCAACTCAGGCTATCACTGAGTTGGCATTAGGAAGGTGAGATGTCAACTGAGTCGTCAATGATATTAAGAGGAAGGTGGGATGAATATGAGATGTCAACTCAGGTGGTCAGTGAGTTAATATTAAGAGGTAGGTGGGATTATTATGAGATGTCAACTCAGGTGGCCAGTGAGTTGATATTAAGAGGTAGGTGGGGTTAATATGAGATGTCAACTCAGGTGGTCAGTGAGTTGATATTAAGAGGTATGTGGGGTTAACATGAGATGTCAACTCAGGTGCTCATTGAGTTAGCATTAGGAGAGTGACATGTTTTCTTTATTTGTCACTGCTGTTTGTTGTTGTTTGTAAAGTACCATTCTTATATTTTTAAGGTATTTATGCCTCGAAACGGAGAAACACTTAGATTTGTGAGCAAATACCTTAGTTATTACAAAAGAATCCGTACTCTCACTCGTCGTAATTAAAGTTTACAATTACAAGGAATGCTGTGTGTAGTATGTAGAGACGATTTCTGTATAACGTGTCAAGCGAATAAGACCCTCAACAATTTTGATACGTGCTTTGAGAATCAGAGCTTCGTGGACATTAAGGTAAACACTATTCTTGGCCAATTTTTTTGGACAAATTACATTAAATTTTAGTTTTCTAACTTTAAGCTAGAATTAAATTAGAAATCTTTGATCTTTGCACTTACGCAATATTTTATAGGTATAAAAAAAGTATTTGAATTTTTACAACTTTTAGTACAAATGAAACGTAAAAAACACCAGACAGCCAGAATGCTTTAACCCTTCAACTGCCGTTGACATCATATGATGCAAGCCTTTTGCGCGCAATGTTTTAAATGAACCGCCGCCAAAAATTCGCCAATCTTTGCGCATGGGGTGTTAGGCATATTTACACGAGCCGGAAACGAAGGGTTAAGAAGATAAGCAACCTACCTTCGTCAGAATTATGTTTGGAAATTGGAACATGTCTATAATAGCACTATGAATGTTATGTCTGTTTTAATGAAATTCATCTTAATATTTTTTCAATGTTACTGTGACATCAACGCTACACATTGTTATTATCAATCTCGTTCACAGATGACACTCCTGAATTCCAGGATACATTCCGCGAAATGAAACTCCATCCGGGCTCTCTCATTTCTCTCAAGTGTATGGCTACTGGAAGCCCTCTACCACAAATCACCTGGCAGCTGGACGGTGTTCCTCTTCCCGAAAGCCATCGAATTCGTCTTGGTGATTATGTGACACCAGATGGCGCTGTAGTGAGTTATGTTAACATTTCAAACTCTCGAATTGAAGACGGCGGTGAATACGAATGTAATGCTAACAATGGCGTTGGTTCCATCAGTTATTCTTCCCGTGTTAACATACTAGGTCCACCAGTGGTGAGACAGATGAGGAACATTACAGTAGTAGCTGGAGAAGTCTTGGTTATGAAATGTCCAGTAGGAGGCTATCCTTTAGAAGCTGTCCAATGGGAAAGAGGTTAGCTCTGTGCCATTATGTTATTTTATTTATTTTTAAACAACATGTTAGCGTCGATTTATTCAATAAAATAAATTAAAGTTATAACATTAGACCGCGTAATATGTAATGTTTTAGTTTTCAAATCGATGATGCCATACATGTAGAAGCAGATGTCTCTAGCCACTAATATTATAATGTAGAATATTCCATTATATTTACCTTTCCCTTCTTTTGGTGCAGCTGGTGTTCGGCTTCCTTACAATCATCGTCAGAAAGTCCACAAGAACGGAACTTTAGAAGTGCATCATGTAGAGAGGGCGACAGATGAAGGTCCTTACACGTGTGTAGCTAGAAATAAAGAAGGTCAGAGCGCTGATAGCACTGCATTTGTGAAAGTACAGGGTGAATACATGTTTTCTTATCTCATTACATAGCTATGTAATAAATCTTTATGAAACCTGAGATATATTTCCTGTTTCTATGTTAACCTGTGTAACTTGTAACCCGTCACGCTGTGTCGGAACCAACTTACATAACATGTAATACTGGAAGATAACTTTTGATTGTGTGTTGTAGTGCGCGAAAGTATCATGTGGTCGCAATGAACCACCGTAGAATGTAGTCCAGGACATTGTATTTTACTTAATATCTAGTAAATGACGCTGTCTGTTCATCGTGATTAACTAATGTCAAATGTGATAGAAGACAACATCGTTGTCAATCAATGGTAGATGTAGACCAAGAAGTGATTAACTAATGTCAAATGTGATGGAAGGCAACATCGTTGTCAATCGGTGGTAGATGTAGACCAAGAAAATTTATTGTGATGAACAAGTATACCATGTGACCCAAAATATTGTCTGTGTTTATCGTAATGAACTGGTGTAGCATATGGTTCAGGACAATGTATATTCATCTTGATGAACTAATGTAATATGTAGTTCAGGACACTGTGTTTATCGTAGTGAGCTAATCTAATATGAGATGTAGTTCAGGACACTGTTTATCGTAGTGAGTTAGTACAATATGAGATGTAGTACAGGACACTATGCTTATCGTAGTGAGCTAATCTAATATGAGATGTAGTTCAGGACACAATGTTTATCGTAGTGAGCTAATCTAATATGAGATGTAGTTCAGGACAGTATGTTTATTGTAGTGAGCTAGTATAATATGAGATGTAGTTCAGGACACTATGTTTATCGTAGTGAGCTAATCTAATATGAGATGTAGCTCAGGGCACTGTTTATCGTAGTGAGCTAATCTAATATGAGATGTAGTTCAGGACAGTATGTTTATCGTAGTGAGCTAATCTAATATGAGATGTAGTTCAGGACAGTA